TTGCTGGGATGTGCCAGTGGACTCAACAGGGAAACACTTAGGAACTTTGCTTATGGCTGGCCTGGAAAAGGGTATGAACAAGATTCATATGGGCTTGGGTGGTGGGTAGAACCGACCATGGTAGAACAGAAATATGTCTGTTTCGATGGGTTTTGTGCAAAGCAGCTGTAGCTTCTATCCCAAGAGCGTGGTCCTTGAATGGCGAGTGCTTGTTGTAACTTTTCTCGGATTCCTTAGCAGTGGAGCGTGAAAGTGTGGAGCATCGCATCGAAGCTGTGGTACCTATAGCAACCTGGAAGGCCGCATCTATGTCCAGAACAAAAGCATCCGCTCAAGATTGCCACAAGTTCCCTTTCAAATTTGAGCGTGCATGAACCCAACCTAGGTCATATGATGTCATATGTAATACACACCCCGTCTGATACCAAGCATCTCTGCAGTGCGTGCACATCCACTGTTTGCGACTCATCTGCCGGCAGCAACTCCACGGTGGCACGCAAGTACTCCGTGCTGGACAGGTGCTGCTCGCCGTTCAGGACCTCATGGGGGTGACGATAGCAAAGCCAACCTCCCCGCGGACGAGTCACATGGAAAACCACCGGGATTTTAGAGGAAAAGCCCTTGGACGACCCGGAGGCCATGGCGATCCATGGGATCGGCTTTAGGGTGTGTCTTGATATCTTGCAATCTGTTCTGTACATCGTTCTCCCTCACATTGGGACCAATGTATAGAATGCAAAAACACAACAACAACAACAACAACAACAACAGTTGGATTTGCTGTCCAGGAACCGGGAACAGAAGTGGATTCACCCATATAGGGAAAATATGGAAACCTCATTCTAAGCAAAACCAGGTTGAATGTCCGAAATCCTGTAGCACCTCCAGGTTGAGTGTCAACAGTGTTGGCGTGCCCATGAAGATTACGGATTCCGGGTGATGCTGTTATTTTGGTTCATCAACAGCACCTGTGGCACCTCCAAACTTAGTTTGGGGTCTGAACACAGGCTCCTCCCACAAACACACGTAATTAAGAGTGGATGACAGTGTCTTGAAAAAAGACTCATCTTTCCAAAAAAGGCAGCCCTTCCCTCCAAAGGGGATCAACGACTATCTTGTGAGGCAGCTGCACCTGTTTGGGGCGGCGATTGCCGTCAGCATCGGCAAGGCTAGCACACGTGGTTGTGCTGCGTGGTTGTGCCGGTCACGTTTCACTTCCTACGTTGTGATAGGGTTCAGGATGTTCACTCCCATACTTCAGGATGTTCACTTCCATACAAGAAATAAGGGTGTTGACCTTTGTTGGTATTTGGAACACCTGACTACCTGACTATGTGCCCATAGCAGGACTTTTCAATTCCCCACTTTGTTGCTAGCCGCTAGCCGTGGCAGCAACACCTCTGCTTCTTACCCTGCAATCAAAGTTGCATCGTCCCATCCAAAGAACGCCTTCAGCATCCCAAAAAGTCATCGTTTCACATCCTTGTTTCCTATCATGTTCATATCTAATTAGACATTTCTTGGCTAAAGCAAGAAACAATAAAAACAACAGCACACCACACATCACCACACACAAGCATTCAGAAAACTCGTTATAACCGGTGTTTCCGCCCGGAGTCGGCACCGGAGTCGGAGCGTCCGGCCCAGGCACCGCCAGAATCCGGGCCCTTCGACCCACCTCGTGTTCGGCCACATATTTACCTCGCGCGCCCGAGAACACCCAGAAAGGGAGGCCATCGCCACGTAGGATGGAGGCCCTCTATAGTCTATGACGTCAATGGAGCGATAGCTAGATGAGGATGGAGCCGGAGCCTGATTAGTGTGTTCTCTCCCATGCAACTGCATGGAAAGATGTCCAACGTCAGTAGGATGCTGTTCATTGAAGGCTTGTGTCACGATGTGGTCGAAGCTTTCTACCCAAGGATCGCATGAATATTGTCATACCAGGACCCTCCTGTCGGGGTGTCCTGGCTGGACTACCCCACACTACCTATAGGCTTCCATTGGGCCCCCCTGGAGGGTCCTGGTATACTCATTCCAGTCCCAGGTTCCAGGGAGAGTCTGTGTTCTGATGCAGGTCATCTCTAATTGTATCAAGACTTGGTCTGCAATGCTGTCAGCATTGCTGTCGAGCAAGAACCTCTTCATGGAGTGACTGGGATCCACGCCATGACCGCTCAGTGTGTCATGTGGAAAACACCGGGTAGGGGGCATGTGGAAGCGTCGCGCTTCCTTCGTAGTCGAACCAGACTGGGACAAGCTTGGAATCATCCGCAGGAATCCACTCCAAGGCCAAAAGTTTATGTTTTTAGATGTTTTAAGGGGAACATATCAGGACACCCATGGTCGTCTTCACCCTCAAAACTTTGGGCTTTTCCTCGAGGTTTTTCCCTTCGACCAATTCTGAGATCCACCCAACTCCTTCACTCAGCAGCTATGTCCATTGGTCTCCTCAGACCTGGGTAGCTCGCAGCGTCGTTTACGTGCCATGCCAAAGAGTTCCGTGATTTCTCGCCCAAACCGTTGGACGCAGCGAGACCTCAATTCGTGACCTCGAGCCCCTAGTCGTGACCCTGCCAGGGGATCAAGAGGTGACCACGATGTTCACGAACTGAAGAACCTAGGGCTTCTAAGAACCTCGCAAAACCTAACGACGTGACTGGGGGCCAAGGCAAGTCGCTGCATCCACATCGCTCATCGTTCGGGAAGAGACCCCACCGGGATACGAATGTCCGAATGTCCATGGAGCTTTTCGGTGAACCACCCACTGAGGGGTATCAGGTTCATGGAGTGTCTCAGAAAAATCGCCTCTAGAGCGCTCCAGTCCTACCTTCTTAGAGGTACTTAGTCCATCTTAGACCATCAAACCGAACCTTAGGAGGTATTTGGAGCCGGATCAGATCCGGCAAAAAACACACAACATCTATACCTAGACCCTCCCGAGGCAATAATTTTTGCCGTAGGCTGTTGAGGCAATAATTTTTTCCGTAACTCATTTTTTCTGCCGTAGCTCAATCCCTGGAAAGTGAAAACGCCGTCAGAGAAGTGAAAAAGCCGTCACAAAAGAAGAATCGCCGTTTTGTTTGATCTACCAAAGAGGATATTGTTTTGGTCCGTCCATACCCTGAAATTGCCTTCTCCTTTTTCACTTGTAAGTAGAGCTCATCGTTTTCAAGCCTCACGGTAGCAATTCTCAAGATGTTGCAGCCCTTGTCTAAGGTCTCGATTGACATCACGGCAGGGTTTGTTCACATTTTGATCATGCAATGGCTGAAAGGATCGCTTGTGACATGTTGTTTCAAGTCTTGCTGCCACCTTGAGTGACCCTAGACAGGGTAAGGGAACGACGCGGTAAGTAGGGGGAAAACGCCGTAAGTACGGGGAAAAACGCCGTAAGTACGGGGAAAAACGCCGCAAGTACGGGTAAGAATGCCGTAACTTTAAACGCAAAGTCTTCTGCAACGCCGCGCAAGAGGTCGAGTTACCTGCGAAAACCGACGAAAACCCAGCATGTGACACTTCCATCAGCTGCCCTTTCCACTTCACATGACTATGCGAGTTTGCTGATATAATAAGACGCCTTTTACGTTCAGTTGCCTTTCAAGCAAGACCCTACAATGTTTTCACACTCGCCTGCACGAAAACTAAAACGAAATGACTCTTTGAGGCATGGATGTGTGGACCAAAATTGCCGTCAACTGACCGAAACTGCCGCAGTTCATCAAGAAACGCCGTCCCCATGAGATCAATATGGAAGAACGCCGCAGAACGGAAAAAGGCAACGTTTCATCAAAACGGCAATTATTATTGCCGTAACGAAGTTCCAGGTATTCCACCATATTCCACATACCCTAGGGCTCCAACATGTTCCAACCATATCCTCAGGTTCGGTGGTTAGACCCCCCTGGCACTCACCCGTCCCACCCCCCCAGGCGGGATGAATCGGCCGAAACACACATCACGGAGCTCCTTAAGTCGAAAGAGCAGCCCGACCCTCGCCACGCGCGGCTGCGAGTTCAGCGGTGCTTCATGCGTCACGAGGAAGTGTCGCGCGCCCTTGGCCAAGAGGTCATCGTAGAGCTTGAGGTATTTGGCCTCTGAGACCTAGGCAGGTCGACTTGTCGACGACACAGTAGACGACACACCCTCACATGGCTGACTGGCAACTCTTCAAACACGCCCATTTTGAGGTGAAGTCGCTGCTATAAAGAGCTTCACGAACACAGTAGCTCCTCACTGACAAAAACCGACTCCTCTACCGGGCCCATTGGTCTCTCTCCAGGTGCCCATTTGGGTCACCGACCAACTCTCGCCCAGCCTCCGGTGACCCGACTCGTCCGGCTTGAACGGCGTCCGGCACCGTCTCTGGCCCAACCGGGGCTCTAAAGCATCCATCGTCCCCAGTCTTCGGACCCACCCAGACGCTCCGTTCACAGCCCGACTGGTCCCTCAAAACCTAAGGAATTGAGACCCCAGACCCCTCCATATCAAGGTCCGACCCCTCCATATGAGGGCCCAGGGTCGCGTCTGGGCAGGGCGTAAAGACTTGAGACCGGACCCCTCCAGCCACCAACCCTCCGAAACCGCACAAGTCGCACGACCGCCGAAACGAGTTTCGGTTCGGTAGGACGACCGACGTCCCGAACCGCTGGCACTCCCTGGAAATGTATCCCAGACTCTCCATGGGACTGCCATATATGCCGATCAGTTGGGGTGGTTTGGGGGGTCAATGTAGCCATATATGGCATACATGGAGCGTTTGGGTATAGAGGCCCCTCTTCAACAGAATGTCAAACCCCTTTCAACATGTATTGGACATCTCCAGAAATCTCCACGTAGTCCATGAAGTCACCGTCCCAGTGTGGAGAAACATCATGAAACATCCAGTAGTTGAGGTCACTTAGTCCATAAAAATGTCACTTAGAAACATGAAAGAGATCACGTTAAACTACTTTAAAGGTTCTGGTTTGTGACGAAACTAGATTCCGATCTCATCCCAACTCCTTATAAGTTTCATCGTTTCAACATCAAACTCCCAAATTCCGGTTCGTAGCAAGATTCTTTTCAGTGTTTTCCATGACCTTCCATGACCTGGAATTTGCATATTTTACATACATTGGGGTGGTGGTTTCGGGTCAAGATTGGTAAATGGAGGTACATATGTCAGTCCCATAAATTCTGGGATATCTAACCCTATGGCTCCAACCATATCCTCAGGTTCGGTGGTTAGACCCCCAAAACCCACCCCAACCACCGAACCTCAGGAGGTGGGCCAGGAGCCCTAGAGAAATTTACAAATTTAAAGGAAGAATCATCAGTTCAATTCGACATGTCACGATGCTCCAAAACCTACCTGCACCAATGGCCTACATTCATGGCCGTAGCGGCTCTTTTCCTTCGAGTTGCCATGAGCTGTTGGCTGGGACTTGGCAAGTAGACCGCCTCGGTCGATGTTCCGGTCAAAACCGACCGGAAACCTCTAGTGGCTTGATGAAAACAAATCGTTTCCGGTCGATAATCCATGATTTTCCATCGTTTTCCATGAGTCTCTTTCCATGTTCAGATGTCCCGGGACCTCGGCACAGGGTGCCCCCCAACTGTCCGCCAAACCCTAACCCGGACCGACTTCTCCGCGCTTGACCCGCTTTGCAGGGCGACCAAAACGAGGTCACGGACGAGGTCACGAGACGAGGTCGGCACCCCAACGAGGGGAAAAAGGTGAACTGTCTTACTGTCTACCTTGTTTTTCTTTTGAGTGGGGCAGTCCCAAAAATCCAAGATGGAACAAACATCAACATGGCCAGGTGAGTTGTTCCTCTTTTTCACTTCCCGTTCTCCACCCCAAATTCCAATGCTTCGAGCGTCCGGCAGCGGCACCAGTGGCACCTCCAAGACTTCGCCGTTCGAACTCGTTCGACTCGCGCTGTCGCCCGCGGGCGCCGGGCTGCTTCCGAGGGAGGCCCACTCGACCTGGACGGTCACAGGAGGTCCCTGGGAGTCCTGGACGACCGGTTTTTAAGGGTCTGAATACCAAAGAACCTTTGTTTTGGCGGATTCTCATGGTGCTTGGAGTTCGATGTTCGATTCACATACCTCGACTTCACTCAGGATGTTTTGAAAACCAAACCAGGTCAACCGAACTCTTTTCAATGCTCGACTCGGGGTTGGAGTTGACTGGGCGGCTCAGAAAAGGGCTTGGCAACGGGGGATGGCGTTTATCACCCAAACACTCCACTCTGGAGTTTAATGGAGTTTAAGCCTTTCCAGCAGGCAAATGCTCCCGCGGCCATGGCAATTGGCAACGAGGCCCCCTTGGCCAAATCAATAGTGGGACTTTACATGAAATGACTATATACCCCACTCATCCCCACACTCCACGCATGGAATGTCAAAGTATCATTCCCCGTGGAATTACCGATGAATTTCGGGAACCAGATTGTATAGCAATAAAAGGAACAACCGACCTCAAAGGACAGAATGCCCCACCATAGAATCAAATTTCAGCATATTGCAGTGCTGAGAACCCGTTCCCCATAAAATGGTTCAGCTCAACTGTTTGAGCAAGCTATTGTTTTCCTCAAAAAATGCCAACATTTGGGAAAACAATGATACCAATCCCAAGGTTGAACTTGATTTTTTCATTCTGACCTATTGAATTGCATATCAAGCCTTCACATATGCTGTCTCCGCGGTCTATAATTGTGTTTTCTGTCAACCCTCCTGACCTCGCAGCACTTCCTCCTCCACTCTGAATGACTCCTTCTCAGCCTTCTGCAACCCCAAATGCCGTTGAAAAAAAAACTGCAACCTACAACCTCTGTAGAACCCGGTGCATTTTCATGCCTTCTCTATAAAATGGAACAACATGGAACAACTCTACCTATTAGGCATGATGAAAAAGGAACTTGTGAATGCACGAGTTTAGGTTGATACCTCATTCTAGAGAAAAACCATGTCTATAACATTTGATGCTCCCAAATTCTAAGGGGTCTATTCGGCAGGGGATAAAGTACGTATGCACGGACTTTTGAAACCACCCCAATCCTCTAAGGTTTTTTAAGGCAGAGTCCCGACTGTGACTCTAGTCTCAAAGTTGATCAGGATGTTGCCTTAGATGCCTTGAGACTATTTGCGCAAATAGCCTGGTGGATGTGTCCAGGCTAAGTGTGCCCTTGACCCTTCCGAAGTCAAGAACTCTGCCACAAGGGAGTGTCGTGCCCTGCAACCCTAAGCCTTGGCCACCATCCTTTTCACAACATCAAGCCCCTGGAGCTCTTCGAGCAAAAGCCAAGCTTCGAGTGACTTGCACTCAAGACATCACTCAGCAAAAACAAAGCTGTGCTGTGCAAGAGATGGTGCATCTTAGGGAGATCTGGAAAAGGCTCCGGGTTGAAGTGTTGGAGCCCCAGTTGTCTGCGCAGCTTTTTGAATTTGTCTGCCACTCTGCTTTCAAGTGGCCTCCATAGCATCACAGCAGAATTGGCTCTGTGCAGTCAGTGTCTTGATTCCGTTGATGCACTTCAAGGTGGGAGCTCATTTTGGCTCAGCAAGGCTTTTTGAGATGCTCTCCCCTTGAGCTTTTGGGGCTGTACCTGCCTCCTGAGTGAACAAAGAAAGCTTCCACATGCCACGGTCTCTTGCGGATATCCTGTCAAAAGTCTGACATTTCTAAGATGTGATGCCAACATGTCTGAAGCTATCTGGGTTTCTATCTGGCATAAATTCTGGCATTCTATCTGGCATATGTTCTGAATTCTTTCTGGCAATCTATGTGGCATCGCTTCTAACGTTCTTACGTCCAGGTCCGGTGCCCACTGCGATCTAGCGCTCGGAGGAGCGGTTGAGGTCCGAGGAGGAGCTGGTGTTTGGGGAACAACCGGAAGACCCAGAATAGGACAAGAATCCCCGTCAACCCTACCCTAATATAGGAATGGACAACATGAAATAGAATTAACTGCTCAGTCCACGTGACCTTCTCCCATGTGGCCGACTTTCGCACCGTTCGTGCACGCTTGGAAGCACTGCGGTGCTTCCAGCCGCGCACGCGCTGGGCGCGCACGGTGCTCGGCGCAAGGACCAGGGCGGCAAGGACCCTCGCGGCGTGCAAAGGCTTTGGTGTCCAGCGGCCTCATGGGTTCGAGCGTGGCCTCCAGCTGCCCCACCCCAGGGCCCGAAAGCACCCCAACATCATTCATGAGGTCGTTGAAGGTAGTTACGACCATCCAAATGTCCAGTGAGACTGATTCCTGAGGCCCTTAGACATCCCTGGAAAAGACTTCGGTGAAGGCGCTCCCCCGACTGTTCGTTGGTGGAGAGCTTCGAGGTCCCAAATCCTCCAAAGTTTGGTTCGCCCTGCAGGTCATGCAAAACACAGACCCTGGGTACTGAGGAGAGCCAGTAGCTGATGCAGTCAACCCGCCTGCGGCTATGCTGCCCAAATCGACATGGATTCATGCAAACTATATCCCAAACACTCCAACCATATCCTTAGAAGGTGGTTAGACCCCCAAAACCCACCCAACCACCGAACCGAAACGGAGGTGGGCCTGGAGCCCTAGGGTATATCCCAAACACTCCATTGACTGCTGAAGATGGGTCCTCAAAGATGCCGCCGCCGCTGAAGATGGGTCCCACCCCTGGCCCTTTCTCGGTAAATCTACCAGTCCCTGATAGGTCCGGGTCCTGTCTGGGTATGCAACGATTGCCCCTATCCATTAATTTCTTGTTAGGGAAGGTTTACAACACACCCATGGCTTAAACCAATCCATGTTGCAGTTTTCATGGATTCTCCCTTGAACCAATCCTATAGCAGGGCCCCCTGTTTCGGGGTGTCCAATAATAGCTCCTTAGAGGTTGATGTGTGTCTATGAACCACCCCAAACCGGGAGCCCTGGCATAGATCGGGCTTCCTCACTCGGGCCGAGGAGCTCGCCCAAGGTGTCGCTGGCCGGGCGAAGCTGGGCAGGGCTTTCAGGTTGGGCGTGGCTTGGCCGAGGAGTTCTCCAGCAGCCTCAGCTCTGCATTTGTTCAACAAGTTCGATATGGTTCGATGCTATATAGGGCTAGTAGACACCCAAGATGTCTGATGATCTGATGGAGGTGCATCAAAACAACCCAACTTGGGGGTGCCCTTGTGCCATCTTGTGCTATCTACTCTCAAGCGACCAAACTCAGAAGCAACCAGGGTTCCTTGTGCTCCTTTTCCAACGTCACCAGGCAACACAAAGGATATACCAATCTCCCTGCAGCAAGGTTGGAGCAAGGTTTTGGTGGGAGTCCCACCTGTGTTGCAGCTATGTCCACTGAGGCACAAAAAATGAGCAAAACGTATACCCCAAACACTCCATAGAGCTGGCCCAGCCCTTTATATATACTATTATATACTATTATATACTACATTGACCTTTGAATCCACCACAACTGATCGGCAAATATGTCATGCATGGAGTGTTTGGGTACTGAACCATTACTGGTCACTGGAGTCAATCCAATGGCCTCGAGCGCCATGAGCAGCTTGGACGACAGGGTGACAGGGTGTGTGCAAGCGGGTGTCGCGAACACCTGGTGTTCATGCGGGTAAAGTTTACTTTGGCACACTTGAGTTGCAGGCCTCATGTTGTGCACTGACTGTTCTTCCAAGATTCCATCTTCGACCTATAATATAGGTAAATATGGATTGAAACTAAACACGCATGACCCGTCTTGGTCGATTCTTCTCCGGCCGGCCGTTCTTTTTCTCTGTGTGTCACGCGCTTCACACCATTGAATCCTGCAAGCCAAGCTGCAATAACTGCACCCCAACAGGCTGTGCTCCGGATCCCCATCTATGCCAACAATCACCAAGCCCAGACCAATCATCAGACTGGAATGGTTACATACATGAGGGACATAAATGTTCATATGGGTTGATGTATATATATATATATACACATCTCAAACATTCAAATAGACCAGGGTCGAGACCATGACCCCCCCAGGGTCCAGAATTCGATCGTCATGCCATGCCAACAAACAGTGGTAGCACTGGCAATGGGACACACCTTGGGCATTACCCGTATTGGAAAGACCACCCCCACCCCAAACATACCAATGGATTGGATTGGGTCTATCCCATTACCAGTAACAGTGGATGATGATGGTTAGTAAAGGCCTTATTCAAAAATAGTGATACTGTAATTGTCTACTGACTGTTGCAGGTAATGGGACAAAACCACCAATACACGTGTGAAACGGCAGTAGCATCCGTAGCAACCTCCCAGATTTGGCATATGACTACCCCCGCCGATTTGGGCTATGTCTGACTCCCGAGCAGCTCAAATGCCTGGAAAACTCGGCCTCACCGAACGATGTTCACCAGTTCTATCTGATTCTATCCCTACTATAGAGGCTTGTTGGACATCCCCTCGAAAAAAGCTTCGCTTTTCCCTGGGAGCCATCGCTAGCAGGTTGGAGGCCAAAGCATATTCACAATATTCATTGCATCTTCAACATATTGTGGGAGAGGCTGAGCTTTCAGCCTGCCAACAAAATTGCGACCATAAGTGCGGATGCCCAAATTGGGGTTGCCCAACAAAGCCTTTGGGATTTGAACCAGTTCTGAGGAGGCCAATCCTGAGCAAAAAGCTCATCCCAAACACTCCATCGTAACAAGGGATGAATTGCTATTCATCGTGTATGGGCATGTTCTGCGTCACACCCCTTCCAATACACCGGTCCCATGTTCGTCCGATCGTGCGGCCTCCAATCCGAAGGCGCTCTTCTGCGGAGCCGGAGCCTGCGCAGAAGAATGCATTCTACGCGCAGGAGCTCGAGCTCAGGAGGGGAGAGGAGGCGGTCCGCAATACAGATGAATACCAGGGCCCCCTAAGGGGTGTCTAATTATAGCTCCTTAAATGTTAAGGGGTATCCATTAACCACCCCTTAGGGGGCCCTGGTATATGAATGCTTTTGTGGGATCTTGGATTCCGGGATTCCGGGCCCTTGAATAAAGTCCGAATTCCCAAAGAACAGAAACAACCAACAAGTGCTGTTGTACCATGAGGACTTGAGACTCATAAAGTTTTAAAAGCCAGCTCAAACCTTTTTGATAATGGTCTTGAAGGGGTACATTCAATTCCCACTAGCAAGGGTGGGCCGTAGGCAAACCTCTTTGCCATCTGGAACCACCTGTCACACTCACTCTCGCCTCTTCAACTAGCTCAAGGTCCTGAGGAGGGCGGGCTCGAGTGGAGAATGTGCTACAAGAAATATATAATATATATCAAGGTGAGCCTGAATCAAGAACAACAAA